ATGGTAGAACATGCCAAAAACAATCACCCCTTGAATAAGCTCCCTTTTCTGAGGATTCTTAGAAGTAGGCTAATGAATGTCAGACATATAGACAATACAGACTTAAAGTGCTTCTACTTACAAATCAAAAAAAGTGGGCAAACTGAAAATAATAAACTGGTTCACGCTTAGCCAAAAATCCGAAAATCATGTATTTTGACAAGATAAGGAGGAGCTGTCAGCACAAATCATAAATAGAAATGTGAAAGGCTCGAGTCTAAGTTTCATTGGTTCGTCAAAAGAAAGACCAACAAGCAACCGGATGAGTGCATCGGATTTCTTTTTAGGATGATAGTTCGCTTTTTATTTGTTTACTACACCTGCTCAATTCAACAACTGGAGGCGGAAAAATGAGTTAAATGCGGTTGTAGAACTGAGACACAGTGCAGTTTTCTGGAGATGCATCGTATGCTTAAAAGCCAGGCACTAGAAGAGTCACAGTAATCAGGGAAGCGAGCCATGAATGCCGGTTCGATCATACGTTTTTGCACGATATCTTGTATTAATAAGATTGTTAACAGCAAGAAACATACATTGTTTCACAGTTTGATATGTGCACTCATGCTAGAAATGTTCTTTCTGGTCTTTTTTATATTCACGGGAACAACCGTTGACTAGACCGGTGAGACTGCATTATAAGATCATGCAAAATTTCAGCTTTCTTGCATGTCTGCTAACCGCAAGAGAAAAAAGTCGGTAGTTTTGCAAATGAAAATTTGATGTGTCTGCTCGCAATACGTGAAATTACTTAAAGGTTCATTTTAGACTTGCAGATTCGCAGACAGCAAAGGCCTTCGTAAATTAAAGAGTTCTACTCAATTTCTTGCATGAGGCAACGTGGTGTTGGCAGTGCCGCAACTTAAACTTTCGGTTGCGCATAAGCAAAACCTAGAAGTGCCACAGAACTGAATAAAAATTCTTTAGTTGGTACGTAGATAGGGTAAAATTTTAGCATTCTAGCTTGAATAACTTTCGAAATCATTTTCCAGCCAAACGACATCATGTGTGGGAAAAAAGATGTGAGTGTTGTTCTTAAAGACGCAAACACAGTGGTTGACGAAGTTGCTAAAATTTCAGTTTAACAGTTCTTGTAGCTTTGGAGGCCGAAATACGGGGGCAGACATACACAGACGCTAAAATGCGTACAAGAAACGGGCAACCTCTCGATAATACCTATTTTTGGGTATAATCAGTGATGCGAAAACGCATTAAAAAAACTTTGAAGGTGCTTTAACGGGCTGCCGCAACGAGGGGTGGGGTATATCGTAGTTCTAACAAAAACAACACTGTCTTATGCTGTCTGCCACTAATGTAAATCAACAAATCATTGCATCGACTGCAAGCAGCAGCAGCAGTGGCTGACAGCTCTACCGTAACTACAACAAAAAACAACTGATTACAGTGATTTACAGAAACGTGGGGAGACTAAGTCGTTAAAGAGTGCAGATACCGCGATTCTAACAAAAAACAGCGACCACTGTTCTCGTAAAGGCTATTCTGAATGGGGCAGCGTTACAGAAGTTGTCCGAAACGGCGAAAAAAACCTCATTCTTGCTATCTATTTCATTAAAATGAACAATGCAGCAGGGAAGTGCACGTGGCTGACTACTAGCCATACTATTACTACTCCTCCGCCGATTATAAGAAATGTCCCGATGCCCATTCCGTCGAGCTTCGTCCGGCGTCCGAAGAAGAAAAAACAATCTTTAAGGACAAAGAGTGACGATAAAGACGCGCACACAGTTTGCTTCAACGACACCAGCGTGAGGGAATACTGGGACAACATATACGGCTCCCTCGCAGGTTTTACGTGCAAATGTCAGTGATGTGATGTCAGTAACAGTTTTACATTATCACTGTCCTAGGGACCCTCCGATGTTAAAACGCTTACACGCTTTCCCACTTTTGCTGAATGCTCTTCTGTCCTTGTGCAGTTATCCTCAAAGGAAAAAGAAAGAAGCCCACAGAAGTTGACGCGCAAAAGACTGAATGCCCATTTCAAACAGGCTGTCATTACCAGCGCGCCAAACAAAAGCAAACATAAAATCACGCGAACAGGAGAAGTGAGGGCAGGAAAAAGGAGGACACGGCCGGAGGAAGGGGGAGGAGGGTAATCAAAACCACCGATATGGAGGAAAATTCGGCTACGGCCAGCGAATTTAATCAAAACGTAGCAAAAGCAAGGAAAACAAAGTTTAGTCGGAAAAGCATAAAAGTAGCCAAAAGAGCTAAACCGCGATAAAAAGCAAAATCAAAAAATAGTATTGGAAACGCTGCGTTCAAAACATATTTGAGCAAACGAAGCGCTTTCGCTCGGTAAAAGTCGATAGTCGGGGTGTGCTGTTTTGTCCAAAATTTAACATTTCAAGTTTCTGTATTGAAAAAAGTAGGCGCATACTAGGAGCGCTGAAAAGATCAGAAGAGCATTCGGTGCTTTAGTGCATCACAATGCAAGAGTGCGCGAACATTCATTTCACTCATCCGAAAGCCAACTGGCAGACAGATTACTGGAGCAAGGTTCTGGGGGAAGTAACGCACGGGGACACACGTCTGTTTCTCAGCGCCTTATTTACATGTTCTGTTAATTCCTAACATAAATTGCCTTTTTGCTTTTCTGCCTTGTTGATGACTGACGCTGCGGCTGAGGATCCAGTAATGCAGCACTCAAACTCCCGCCACCGCCTTCGCCTTCCGGAATGCGCGATGTTCGACGAAAAGATCGTTTGTTGCGGAACGATGACGATGGAAATACGGGTAACATCATATTCTCAATGACACTTGGCGAATCGTTCCCGAACTGCACACACAGAGTCATTCAAAATTACACTTACTCGTATCAGTGAAGCAAAAAACTGGAACAATTTATCTATTTTATATATTGTTTCAACAGTCTGTTATAAGACGAGCAGTCCGGGACGTAATGATGATGCTGGTGACCTGAGAGGAGGAGGTAGCAAACCATCAAAGTGACCCATGATATTTAGCCACTACAGTGGGCTTATTTTTTGTCAGCACTCTAGAAAGGTGGTTCAAAACTGCTGTTCTAGTCCCCTAATTGACTATGTTCTATAGCTGAAAAGCAATGCCACCCCATAATAGCGCATCGGGTGCACAACATTTTCGAGTAATCTTGGGAACAGCTTTCATTACATGTTAGCTCAGCCGATGTGAGTTGGTGCCAAAATTTCTATTAAAGTTAGAACCCTTTATTATAAAACACAAGAAACCGATGAAAGGTGTTACAGGAAAGTAAGCTGGAGATTCCATGACAGTAAAGCTGCTGAGCACTATAAAATGGCAAGGGCTGCTTAAGCCAGTCGAAAACTACTCCAGCTCGAACAGACTTGTACTGGTAGCGCACATTCTGAATACTACGGCAGCAAAGCATTAGATGACTGAAAGAGCGTTAAATGACCCGCGACAGCCGAAAAGAATGCAATCCCGCTTTTCGAAGCATTAGACAAAGCAGAAGATTATGCTACTAGCCATACCACTTGCTCTTGCGAG